TCAGGCACTCTTCAAATAGCCTCAGGTATTTATACTTCTTCACTCCTTAAACTTGCTAATGGAGATGAAACTTGGTATATATGCATGTGTATTACATCATTTCCATGACGACAACAGCCATTTTCCTCTATTATTTAAAATTTTTGTAGGGGACTTGCCCCCTTTGACAGAGAGTGGAGACAAGTAAATTAAAAATCCTGCGAATTTAATAAAAGAGGCATAATTACATATAATAGGGATGGCCATGGTATAAAAAGAAAGGGAGACAAGATAGGGATGGGACACATGAAGCATGGTCAATTATGAACTTATTTGAGCACGCTGACACCTCCAACCCCATCACACAATCCCTATAATCATTGTTGCCTAGGTGAAGTATTTAAACATTCACCTTTACAGTACTCAGAACAAAGTCATGCTACTGAGTAACGAACACCGTTATAGAGCACAAGTGGAGTTGGAAATCACTTTAATATGTATAGGTTAGATGCTGAGCCGAGGGCCCCTGGCTGTCGGCGTCCCGAGCGCAGCGAGGGCGTTACTACCAGGGCCCCGAGGCTCACTAAATCGCGTAGTTCCCAAAGCAAACGCATCTTAGACTACAGCGCTAGCAACGCACGCTGCATTGAGGATGGACGACTTACTGGGGTCACAGCTGTTTGCAGTTGTCAGCAACGCACGCTGAATTGAGGATGGACGACTTACTGGGGTCACAGCTGTTTGCAGTTGTCAGCAGCCAGTTCGAGCAGGCGCGTACAACAACGACTATATACCAGTGCAGTAGAGAGTGTTTGTTCTAGGCGGCGCGGAGCGAAAGTAGGCGGGGCCGCTGGGCGCTTCACGCACCGCGCTTGCGTGCGCGTCTGGCTCGAGCTGTAGCTAGGGCCCTGTAGTCATGCACTTCCTACTAGAAGACCGAGTACCAGGGTTTTCATGAGAAAGAACCTCTCCAGATGCCCTCCGCACGCACGGCGTGGTTGCCATGGCCAATAGCGTAAGAAAAGTGCCGCAGGGTTGCGAAATAGTTACCGCGGAAGAGACAAAAATAGTTACCTCTAAACTCGAAATCTGATTGGTCAATTGCGTGTTACCGTAGTCTAAAATTAGATATACGCCTTTTTTTATTCGCAGGATTATTTCATTTACTTGTTCATTATCAAACACGACACTGAAACCTGAATCGAAGGATCGTAATTAGCATTACGAACATTCTTCGCGAGCGCGATTCACGCGTCAGCCTTGCATGTTCCGGCCTAGTCTGGCGTAGCCACTGCCTGATTGTAGGCGAATGCGGGGCATTTTTTCGAGCGGGAGAGAGCAAACAAGGGCTGTATCTGCACGAGCCATAATAATTATGATCCTAGCCTATTTGCAACTTGCACATTGGAATCACGAAGATTGGAAAAAGGTACGGCTATGGTCAGGCACCGAATAGTGCCGTCGAATGGACGATATTTCTCTGGCTGGCTATAGATCGTACATCGAAGCGCGTATTTCAAACGCATGCGCAGTTAGACGACGTATCTACGCTCCCGCTCGCCTAGTTGCGGCCTGTGACTGACGGACTAGCGGCAGTGGCGTATCCAGGGGTGGTGCTTTGGGTGCTCCAGCACCCCCCTTGCGCCACTACTTCAAATGCAAACGTTAGTCGCTCGGCTCACTGCGGCGACCTGGTACACCTTCGCGCGATGGTAAAAAAGGGCGTGGCACTTAGCCGCGCAGGCAGTTCGAAATACAAGTCGTAGACGAATTTGCTAGACGTCACCCGAGGAGGCTACAAAATGCCTAACATACTCAGTAGTGCTGAACAATGACGTGACTATATATACTAGTGGAAATGTTGAACATTCTTGGCGAGCGGGAGCGACCCAACTTGGGATTTGCCCGGGCTGTATAACGTGCCGTCAGCGCACAGCTTTCCTTTCGTGAAGCAAGACAGATCTACCTGTCGCCGTTATATGCCTATTGGCAGAACGGTGAGCAGGTGAGCAGACGGTACTTACCTTATGCTTTCAAGTCGTCAGTCGTGGTCCACCAGGCAGCTGGCATGCAGCAGTACGTGTTGCAAGTTGCACCTTAGAACCATTAAGATTGGGAAGAGGTACAGCCTTGGTCAGTCACCGAAGGTTGCAGCGCATGCCGTCGAATGGAGGAGAGTTCTCCAGCTGGCTATATAGATCGTCGATCGGCGAGGCACCGTGTGTGAAAATGCGTAATAATAATTATAGAGAAGCGCGTACAAATCCGCGCATGCGCATTTACACGACGTACGACTTAATTACATAAGATCCCGCTCTCTCGCCACATTTTGCGCGCGCGCGCCTTCGCCCCTCCCCCCAGTACTCCCCTAGTGTAACGCTACTGATGTCAGTTCGTCTACTGAGAGTCGTCGTCTTGTGCCTGTTGCTTCTCTGTTCGTTAGGATTGTGGTGGATATTATCTGTATCCACGAGAAAAAGAGTGCCACTGTTCTACAGGAACGATCCCGCGTCAATGCCACCCGGTCCCGCGCCCGATCCCACGTCAATGCCACCCGGTCCCGCGCCCATGCCACCCGGTCCCGCGCCCGGTCCCGCGATGCCACCCGGCCGTCCAGCGATCTTCCGTCTGGCTCCAGAGAATGGCAACAAAACCTCGGAGCAGGTAGTATCACTGCTACCAGAATATAGTTCGATACCCTTTTCACGATTTATGGGGAAGGGAGAAGATGAAGAGTGGGTCTTTGAACTCCACAACTACCTCTCAACTCTGAACAAGAGTGTCAGTCCACATGTGAACATGGTTTTTGGAGACTACAAACACAGTCGCCTAGTTCTCAACTGGATCACTGCTGCTGTGAACGTAATACAGCCGCCTCTTCACAATGTACTGGTTCTTTCTCTCGACAACCGGCTCTGTGATCTTATAGCTAGTAGGACACTGCCTGTTGCATGTGTGGTAGTTGCTGGAAACACTCTCTTTGACAACGGGCCCCTCACCGACCCATGGAAAAAAGGACTGATGGTCCGCAATGTAATACTGCGGGTAATGAACTACTGGGGATACGATGTAGCATCGTATGACAGTGATGCTGTTCTGCTAAAAAATCCGCAAGTGCTCTATGACGAGAGACCACACATCCATCTTTTCTCATCCGCTGGTACATATCCATTTGACCTGTCAAGAGAGTGGGGATTTACACTATGTGCTGGTACAGTGATGCTCAAGGCTTCTTCTGCTATAGGTATTATAATAATTTCGGTAGCCAGCCAGTAAAACACCTCTCTGCCAAATCTCTGCATTAAGAGCTCGAGTCTCAGTGTGTGTGTTTGAGTTGCTTTACGTTGTGCCAGTTCGACTGGCAGGCTTGGCACTTGTGCAAATGTGCCTCACCATAAATTAAATACCGAGTAATGCAAGAGCATAAACAATGACACTTGAGTAATTGGATTGGTAGTCACTGCTGGAGCTTTGGTTACATAATTATTCTGATGGGTAGCTATAAAGGGAAAGTGTCAGTACAAAAGGGCTATCTATAGGGGTCAGAGCAAGAATGCAATTAAATTTCCGTTTTATTTGACAAGAGCGAATGGATGTGGGTTCAATTTTTTTACACAGAGTCCCTTTGGAGGCACATATCTTCACTGTCAGAATTAGACGAACAATTTACCTTAAACAGCGCCCTACTGCAGATGAATTCTGTGTGGCCGGAGAAAACCCCTGTAAACAAAATGTGCACCAATAAAGAAGGGTGGGAGGGGCGAGGAGAAGATGACATTCGTATCTACGTATTTCCACCGCAAGTATTTTGTCGTGCAGGATGCTGCAAACCTACTATGTCTCGCAACACACTCTACAATGCCCATCCTATTGGTTCTAAGACAGAATTGGGTGAAAAAGAGGCAGTACTGAAGAGAATGAAAGCATGGTTCTTGTGAACATGTTTTTCTCTAGACTCTCGTTCCCTATAGCTATACATATTGTAAACTGAAAAAAATGGTGAATGAAATTATATTATTATTATGTGAGGGGGCATGGGAAAAGGGGCTGGAATGTGAAAATTTAGTTTTTGAGGGTGAAACACCACAAAAACCTAATTTTAACATTCCAGCCATATAGGTCCCTTTTCCCATGCCCCCTAACATATACTCCAACATTTTGGACTCTCATGAGGGTGCTCTTCATGGTGATGTAGAAGGTGGCAGTTTATAAGTCAAAATGAAGGTGATATAAAGGGATGGCTCATAGCATGAAAAGGGTAAGAAATGGGTCGTTGCACAGCTGAGACACACAAAGGTACATGACACAATTCAGCTATCTTTGTGTGTCCAGTCACTCACTGTCTTAGCTGTGTAACTAGCCCTTGTTTCCTATATTATACCTTCGTCATGATTTTCACTGTGATTTTTCCGTTTGTTTTTTACGCGAACAGATTTTGACTAGACTGTTAAAAAACACAGACAGACAGACAGACAGACAGACACACAGACCAACTACTATAACCCTCGAGCGCATGCGCACCGAGGGGTTAAATATGATGTTATCTAACACCCCATTTTCTGTACCAAAACTGCCATTGTGTATTGGGGGTGTTCACTGTTCATTACTAGATGTTTACAAACACTCTTGGGGTGTAGAGTAAACCATGGCACACTCTATATAAAAAACCTAAGGGTGGACTGTCAGAATTTTAGGCAGTTGATGGTACTATCTGGCTTCCTGACAAATCATCCATCAACTTCGTTGGTGTGCTCAAACGATCGCACCGGTAGCATCACTCAATCGCATGGGCATCCTTTTCCATCATGTCCATCTGACAGGCAATAAACAGTAGCTAAAAAAACATGATAATGTTTATTATTCCAGCTCCTAAAAGTGGTGGTGAAAAAACAGGGCAGGAAAGGAAGAAATTGCCATCTACTTAGTCGTGCAGGATGCTGTAAACCTACTGTGGCTCGCAACAAGACAGACGCTGGTTCAAAGGAACTGCAGAAAATGAAAGCATGCATGGTTCTTACCTTGATAAACATATTACTGTAAACTACACAATCTTTTTCTGTACTTCGTGTGTATAATTATACACAAGCATTAACCATTAATCATACATGGATATCAATTATAACAAAATTGTTGCTGTAGCCATACATCTGCCGATCAACATAATTGTAGTATTATAAAGGCGATAGTCAAATCAGCACACCTACATGTTTAGCTGGTAATAAACCATCAGTCTGACCATCTCTACAGTTCTCAAACTAACAAAGCGGCATATGGTGCTTGGCAGCATAGCAACCGGTCACGTGGTGGTAAAGCTGCCGCTCAATGTCGCCCAGCAGACTGCTGGCTCCGATTCGAAACAGGTGTGGTTTCGTCCACTCGTCCCCGAGCTCTTCCTTCATCAGTGCCAGCCAGGTAAGGGCCTCCTTTGCACTGCGTATACCACCCGCAGGCTTGAACCCTACCTTGAACCCCGTTCTCTCGTGGTAGTCCCGTATAGCCCGCACCATGACAAACGCCACGGGGAACGTAGCATTTACTGCCTCTTTCCCTGTTGATGTCTTGATGAAGTCGGACCCCGCCATCATGCACACCAGGCTAGCCTTGTAGACGTTTGTGAGCGTCCCCAGTTCGCCAGTTGCTAGAATGGTCTTGAGGTGTGTGTTGCCACACGCCTCTCTAAAGGCCCTGACCTCATCGTACAGGGCCTGCCAGTTCCCCTGCAGGACGTGCGTACGAGTGATGACAATGTCAATCTCTTCCGCTCCGTACTCGATAGCTCTCCGTATTTCAGACACCCGCTCTTCTAGCGGCGTCTGGCCAGCAGGGAACCCAGCTGCCACTGATGCAACGGGGACCTTACACTTTAACTCCTTCAGTGCTGCAACTGCGTCCGGGACGCGGGACGAGTAGACGCAGACGGCGCCCACTTTGATGTCGGCGTCTTCAACGTCCAGGGACTTGACGAGGTCCTGTCGTACGGGTGTGTTGGCCTTGTGGCAGAGTCGTGACACGTTCCCGGGGGTGTCGTCGCCCGACAAGGTGGTGAGATCGATGCAGGTCACGGCGTGAAGCAACCACGCTGCCTGCCACTCTTTCTTGATGGAGCGGCGGGTCTTGTGGGTGGCGGCTCTTCGCTGGGTGGCCGGGAGGTTGACCCGGGACAACTCGACCCAGCCCAGGTCAAGAGGGACGCCGGGGTTCCTTTCGAATCCTGCCATCCTCCAGTCTGTAGAGACACGTACTCTGCAACAAAAGGAGTGTAGAATAGTATTGTACTTGATGAACAAAGTGCTGAAACTTTGCACTCTTCATACTGGACCTGCTGGCATTTGGGACCTCACCGAAAGTTCAAAAGTCTGTCAGCTATGGATTAGCAATAGTTTAGGCTAGCCTGTCTGTAGTTTAGCCACGTGGGACAGTCTGTCTTGGACAAAGTTGGAAGGGCCTTCTACTAAGCTGCGAAGTATACTCTCCGCTAATAAGAAACATCAGAGTGACTCACTTTCCAAAGGAAAACGTAGCTCGAAGGTGCTATAACACAGATAGTGGACCATCAAAGTTAGAACAAGACACGTGGCCAGCGGGAAAAAAAGGCGTTCAGCACATGCATGCGCGAAGCAACAGGCTGAGGATCAAAACTGCAGCAGCGTGGCTCTTTGGGGAGGGGCCGAGTTTCGGGATTACGTCAGCCACCCATGACGTAACATAAATTCCACGTGATACATAATGGCGGCCGTTCCTGGTAGCAGCAGGGGTTGAAACGCGATATTATTGCCGGCTATACTGCACCCAGAGACGACTTTCACCTGCCAAAGTCAAAGATTACTTCTTGTACGTCTCCCTGACTTTCACTGGATCAGTCAATTTGTAAGTGAGGGATCCGTTGCGTAACCAGTGGGCCGCCCCTCTTCTCTGTTTGGTGGTGGAGAGACTTTAGTGGCGGGATTAGATCCGCTAGAGTATGCTGCGTCGATCTGTATCCCATGCATGCTTACGTACGCATCGTGTGGGTGGGAAGGCGGGTCGCGCCACGCCAGGGTTACTGTCGCGTGTATGTCGACTCTGCTCTCCGGCTCAGTATGTTCGTGTACCGTGTACAAAGCCTGGTGTTGTGAACACGTGAAGCTCAAGCAGTTTACGTCCGCCTCGCTAACTCTATCTCTTGGGGTAGGCCCTGGAATGCTTATACTGTACACGCAGTATAGACATGTACACACAGTATAGACATGCACGCGCATTACAGTATGTATATAGTGTATGTACACAGTCCCAGAGCTGTGGTATTCTAATTAAAACGCACCAAGCTGAGGTGCACTAATTGGAAACGGCAAAAAATTGTAGCTATGTAGTGTTTTTCTAACTTCGTGTATACTGCAGATTTACGTAAATCAGTTTTGAAACAGCTATAATTTATGGCGCTGGTTGTAGCGTTGCACAATACATGTATAGTATGTATACACATACAGTAGTGCATTTGTATTATTAACCCTCCGTGCATGTGAAGCGAGGGTTACGGTAGTCGTTCTGTGTGTGTCTGTCTGTTACTCTCAATCTCACTTCTCGAGTGTTCGTTCGTCTCACAAAGGATACAGCTTACTCAACGGGCAATGAAGGTCAGAAATTTGGAACGGTTTTCTCTGAAAATGCTCCGTTGCAAAGCTAGAGCGCTTCCAGCATTGTACGGCTAATGCTGGTAGTCGCCATTTTATCGCTGCGGAAAATGCGCAGCGCTTATATTTAGCACAAGCTTACCTCGACCGGGTCCGCTTGCTCTGTGTATCTTGAAGGCACAAGAAGTCACAACGAAGGGCGTGTATCGACTCTCGCGTGCTATCTACTACTGTAGCTAGCCCGTGTCAGACTCTCTGCGAGCTACTAGCGGGAGACCACGAGTAAACGCATACTAATACATAGCCTATCAATTAGTGGTACTGTGCATGCGCAGTTCGGCAAGGGTGTGCACTTTAGTGCTTTTCATACGTGTATTTAATTTGACTAAACTAGGAATTCCCTATGTTGGACTTTTTTGGACTCACCCAAAGCTTTCATTGTGATCACAAACTGGTGAAAACGCACGCACACAAACACACGGAGTGTTTGTAAACTGTGCAACTGTGGGGTGTAGGCTAACAGTGTTGTTAACACTCTCATTTTGGCAAAGGCTTGTCCGTCGTCCCACTGGTGCAGTTGGGGGGGGTTGGTCTATGTAATACTCGTACATGTACAGTATGTACATGGTTTGTGGGAGGTAATAATTACTGTAGTTGGAAAATGTTTTTTTTTGCATCCTCTTGTGGTGTGTGTGTGTGTGTAGTAGTGTGTTGCTGTGTGGTTGATTTATTGGTGTGCCTACAATGACAGTGATAGTTAACCCTCGGCGCGCATGCGCAGCGAGGGTTACGGTAGTTGGGTTTGTGTGTCTGTCTGTCTGTCTGTTACTCGTCATCTCACTTCTCGAGTGTTCGTTCGTCTCACAAAGGATACCACCTACTGAACGGGCGACGAAGGTCAGAAAATATGTGAGGTTTTCTCTGAAAATGCTCCGTTGCAGAGCTACAGCGCGAAAAAGCGAATATGCAAATACACAACGGACGGGACGGCTTACCACGGTCTGATCGATCCACGTGCTCTGCGTACCTCGGAGGCACCAGAAGATGCAACGCAGGGCGTGTATCGCATCTCGCATGCTATCTAGTATATAGTGTAGCTAGCCCGCGTCAGACTCTGACAAGAGACCACGAGTAACAGCTAAAACTAAACCCAGCCCATCAATTAGTGGTACGGCGCATGCGTTTACTTACGCGTGCGCGTCACAGTGCGCCGAGGGTTTGCACTTCAGTGCTTTTCATTGTATAATCAGTGACGCCATATCAAGCATAAAGTGCTAGAAAGTGAATGTATGTGGGACATTTGTGGCGAACAAGAGTGGACTATGATATAAGCCTGCTTGGAGAAAGCACCTTTACCAATTATACACACGTGCGTAGTAGGACAAACGTACATGTGTGAATTCGTGCTGCAAGGACCACTAGGTTACTTGGACCACTTGCCAGTAAGGGTCATCTGGACAGTGTTTTCGTAGGGATTCGCATAGCATGTTTTATGTGTATGTACATACGTATATATATATATGTGCATCCCACCATGACAGGTGAGCATTATTAATGAAAGAGGGAGTTTTAATTCAGAGGTAGGTGCGCGTTATGTTGTAATATGAGCATAAAGACACGGCAACCTCTTCTTAGAGTACACGGTGTGAGTCTCAAAGTGCACGTCCCTTTCCAGGTTCTTTATTTTCTGCGGGAGCTCTGAATAAATATGAGAACTGTTACTGATGGGTTGTTCTTCATTTCGAGAGTGTTCATTATTTAGAAGCGTAGCTAGTGTCTTGTTGGTTCTGGTTTATACGTGGGAATGCTTGGAATGTGTCCAGGCAGCCAGTTCAGTGTTGTTTAGTGATCAAGTAGACAGATGACCATCGAACCATTGTACACTTGATGAGTAAAATGGCCTGTCGACATGTATGTACCAATCTCTCACTTGGTTCCTCGGGGCTACACTTGAGTGGATGTTGTGGTTGATAAACTAGTTCGACCAAGTCGAACCACTCCAATTGTAATCGTCTGCATCCGCATCTCAGAGGAGACGTTTTTTAATTGGATGGCGAGTGATTGAGAAGGTTTAATACTGGATTTTGTTCATACAACATCACTTAGTACTGTATTCATACCACAGAGTTTCAGAGCTGTTCTTCCTAACTGACCTTTTCATAGTACTGTACAACCATGGGTGTCTGTGGTTATCCTAACAACATGTACATGGATATCTCTGTCAAACAACAACCCCGGCACTCCATGGACATCCTCGACATCAGTAGCACGGATCGACAGTGTAGCTATGAGAAGGGGTTTTCGGGGACAGATATACTTCCATCGAGTTTCCTGCTGAGAGTAACGCTACGACTGAGCTTGCTTACAAACCTTGAGCACCACTTGCTTGCTTCCTGGACATTCTCGAAACTCCTGCGATTTTCCCCCTCCCCCCCTGGATCGAGTACCATTAAAAATGTGTTTCATGTCTTTCAGTAATAGGGTGTCTTACACATGGGGGTGAATTGCAACAGAGAAAGGACTTCCGTTCAAATCTCTATAATGTAGTACAGTGAATGTGTGTATAAACACACATTCTTGTGTATACACACTTTCACATACATACATGTATGTAATATTATAGGTGTGTACGCAGGAAACGTTGACATAATCAAGATATTTCCGAAGGAATATTTTCTTACATATTTGCGTGTAAAATTGTTTCTGTCCACTGTGATTTTGCAGATGAGTCCCAACCCCTTAAATCCGAAACAATATTCTCCCCTCTCCCCCAGTGTCTCAAGTTGTCAGACTGCCACTCCTCCCTGTCATCTTACAGCTCTGTGATTATCATTGAGTGGGCCAACCTGACCACACCTTACCAGCTGGCACTCTTCTCCATGAGAAATGTTCTGGAAACTGACGTTCCGTCCTCCCTCGGCCGTAGACACACTCCTCAATGAGGAGGTATGTAAAAGCCAACTTGATGGGCATTAAATAGAATACTTTGACAGTAGTATATGCATGCACCCATGTAATTTGGGGAAAAATCACAATTCTGTAACGAACAAAAAAACGAACAAAAACGTTGTCCTAAAATGCCATGTCCCTGGGGTCACAAACCTAAAAAAAGTTTTTTTCCCCTAAAATTCCCCACAGTATTAACGTGTGGTTTTGTCTGTTCCAGCAATGTAGCCTACACGACATTCTAGATGAGGACAATGTGCTGCAGGAGCTGAAGTCCCAGAACAAGAAACTCGTAGACTTGTACGTTACACATGTTTGAGAGATGTTTTGACAAGCTATTGATACAACAATGTTGTACAGAACTTTTGGTTTGTGGAATTTTTGCATGTAAATACATTAACATGTACCTGGAAGCTTTGGTTACTGTATGTGTGTATATATGTATATACAATTTATGTGTGCACCCAATGGATAACTTTGTGTATATACTGTAGTATAAATCATGTGTATACATGCAAGCTACTGTACACATACATAAAGAAGGTATATATACATGCACATGTGTGTGTTAGAGGCAAAAGCCATTTAGGTCAATGTGGTCATGACGTCAGATTCAGTGAATACCTATATAGGAATATTCCCTGTATGGTGTAGCAATAGGAAGATTAAAGTTTGTGACTGAGTATCTGAAGCCAGTCATTCGCATTTTGTAGAAACTCAGTTAGGATGACTTTCAAGCCATAGGCTTCCTATAGCTGCAGAGCTACATACATACGTATAGAGTGTACTGTAGCCCCAGGGTACATAGGAGACAATCAACCCTCTAGCAGCATCAAGATGGTCCCAATAACAGCACGTATTTGGGGGTCAAAGTTTGCAATGCAGGGCATATTCAAGGGGACAAATGAAGGAGTGATGTTCCCCTGGCACGCTCTGGCACCCTCTCTGCTTGTTGTGCAGGCTAATTACTTCATGCTCTGTACCATCAACCACTAAGCCTTGTTCATAAACCATTGCAATATATAGCCAGCAGTGTGATGCAAGTCCAATGATACCATTTGCTGTGACTTAACGCGTTGTTGTCTGTCACTGTACGCATTCCCTGCTGCAGTTTTTTGAGGCCAGAGATTCTGGAGCAGCTGGTGAAAATGGTGACTCTGGAACCTGAGCACGATGCCGAGGACAAAGTCAAGTTCAAGTCAGTCTATTATGTTGGCCCACATTAACAGCAAGTGGCCCACAGTCATGTCTCGTTCTCAGACCCCGCCCATAGAGGAGAAACGGTCTGGTCTGGTCGCCTTCGAGCCATTTCTTGAGCTTCAGAGTTGAAAAATCAGACTACCAATCAGATTACGAGGATTGCGCACGTGATACACACATGGTTATATAATAATGTACTTACCCATCCTACTCTGTGTCCAGACCCATTGTCCCTTTTGTGGGTGTGGTCTGGGAACGCTGGGAACGAGACTAGTAATGTACTCCAAACCTCACCCTATTTGATTCAGTTTGTGTATATACAAGTTTGTATACGTGTTATAGCATGTGAAACAAAACAGAGGAACATGTTTTGATGGGCGGTTGGCTTGCGTGGTACAGTATGCACCTTACATTATCTACTGCACATGTGTAGTGACGTTGCTGATAATCAGTGTAATTGTGCCAAGTGGGCCAATTACTCTTTCTTTGGTACACATGCACCATGGCATGCACACTTGCTCACACACTCACCTGAAGATGTGTGTATATTATTATGGGTGTGCGAATGACGACAGTTGCACTATACAACTGAAGGGAACTGTGCTGTACCCACAGACGTAATGACAATACACTCCCCTTTGGCCCGTGGAACATGTTTATTATACAGGTTGCCTCATCAGAGGTTCATGCTGAATTTGTAGGGACGGAGGCATGTACAGTGCATGTATATGCGTAAAGTGAACCTACGTAACTTCTAGCACTATACTGAGTGGTTGAGCGGGCAAACATAGGATGGAGAGCTATAATGTACACGTACACAGTAGTTATTGAAGCTTTACTGGCATGCAAAGTGTTCCTCCGTTGTAAGATTCCCTCCCGCTCTACGGCGCCGGCCTGTAGGTATCCCCACCTGTCGTGTGAGCTGCTGACTTGTGACGTGGAGGCCATAATCAACTGTCTGAGTGAGAGTGAGACTCTGATGGGCATGCTCTGGGCCTTCCTCGACAGGGAAGAGGCTATCAACCCTCTTCTGGGCAGGTGAGTCATCTCTGTAGTGCTATACTTTCATGTGTTCCTCCGTAAATATCCAACAAAAACACTGGCAACTGTTTGATGAACGCAATCAGACAGTGAAAATCAACTGTGTATATACCTTTTTAACTGTGCCGTCTTTTTGTTTTCCCTCCACAGCTTCACCAGTACAGTACTGAACATGCTCCTGAACCACAAGTGCTCTGTGGTGAGTTTACAGACGAAATTATTTTGTACTGTTCTGTAGGTGTAAATCAGGTCATGGGCTGGGCTATGCGTTTATCCCGCTATTAGCTCGCGGAGAGTCTGACACAGGCTAGCTACAGTAGTAGATAGCATGCGAGAGTCGATACACGCCCTTCGTTGTAACTTCCTGTGCCTCAAAGGTACACAGAGCAAGCGGACCCGGTCGAGGTATGTAAGCCTGTGCTAATTTGCATATTAGCTTTTTCACTTGCTTTTCACGCCATAACTTTCGAACGCAGTATTTTTTTAATCAGAATCGCCTTTTTTAAAATCGAGCCGGTGTAGAACTGAACCCTTTACTATCGCTCTTTGGCGGATTTCTTTCGCGTGGTGGCAGAAAACGTGGTAACAGACAGACAGACGGATGAACTCACGATCCAACTACCGTAACCGTCGCTGTGCATGCGTGCCGAGGGTTAAGAGCAGCTGGTGCAATTGAGCGCTTACAACACTTTGCGGTGTGTATAACATTGATGGAATTTATTTTGGTGATTCTCACATACTGTAGTGCTTCTGCTAATCTGCCAAATAAAAATTCTTCCCCGATATTTCATGCCATACCGTATGTACTGCAATACTTAATAGTACCATAGTCACTGTGTGGGGTGTGCCTCAAGGGGTGGAGGGAAACCTGTTTGGCTTTTGAATGCACTGCAAAGTTGTCTCTTTCCAGATATTTGACTATGTGCGAGACAAGGAAGGGTTTGTGAACCTCCTCCTCAACCACCTGGGTACCTCGGCTATCATGGACCTCTTGCTACAGATGGTGGCTGCCCCTAGCAATGACCAGACTCGCATTGAACTAGCTCAGGTATAATATTGCGTGTGACTGTTTAAAAAGTCGCAAGCTTTGGACGAAAGTTGAAAATGCAACACTGTTGTTAACTTTGTGCAAAGTTTTAGCAGCCTATGTGTACTCCAAGTTAACAGACTAGACCGTTGGCACCGAAATTGCAAAGTTACACCCTCAGCTGTGGATATTCCCAAGTGTATTCATGGTATGAAATGGTGTCCCCTTGCCACAAAACAACAACGCTATATGGCCATTATGTGTGAATACAACAGATGGTTTGCTGTCACACTACGTACACTGCTGGATGGGGAATTGTTTCATGCGTCACTGAACAACTGGGGAAGTCTTTTCTCCCTTTGAACTCACTTATTGAAGCTTACACTTGCATATAATTATAGCCGGGTCAATATAGCTTTATTTATAGCTTCGGCAAGCTCAATTGCACATGGCAACTATACACTAGACATGAATCTACATGTACATACTGCACTAGAAGAGGGTTAACCACATATATACGTTATAATGGGATCGAAACTTACATATGAGTTTGTCAGAGGACTGTTGCTGCTATCCCAAAGCATGCTTTGCAGTTGATGATGTGAAGATGAAATTTGTATTAGTACATAACCCAAATTGTTTCGGATCCACACATGATACAGTAGGAGTCAAACCAATTCGTTCTGTTTCTGTCCGTTTGCTGTTCACTATTGTTCGTTCCGTTCAGTTACCGTTCAGTTATGAATTCCGTGTGACACCCCCTCCGCAAACGCGGTAGAGAAACGCTAGCGGGGCAGCGAAACAAAGTTTTTTCTTAGCGAAAGCGCGAAGCACAGGTGCCAGAAGAAATATCTTCACAGTCAGGCCTTCGCATCTCGCGAATGACGGCCCTCACGTGGACACATACACGGCAACGATTCTAGACGGAACGCAACATAACAGAACGAATTCCAACGGTAAATGAACGGCTTTTCAGAAGGGAAAGGAAGCTCAACGAAACGGAACGCAACGAAATTGGAAATGTTTTTTTGACCCCTACTGTATGTACATACTTACTGTATTGTGTATATCACTTCCTGTATATCACATTTGACTATGTGTGGTGTTTGCTGTAATCCCCCAATACAGTGGTTCAAAGACCAAGGGATTGTAGAGAAACTGGTGGACTTCATCCATCCTGCTATAGACTCAAAGGTATATATATATATATATATATATATATATATATGTACAATACATTCGTACTGTATATAATTATGGTACATGTATTATTATTGTACATCCCTCAACCTGTATTATGCACAAGTAGTGTGAGAGTTGTTGTTTTCTCTCTCCAGAAATGTGCGAATGCGTCGCAGGCTCTGTGCGACATGCTGCGAGTGTCGAGGGAGTCATCAGTACAGATGGTGGGACCCACTCCTCTTCTAGGAACACTGGAGAGGTGCGTATGTGTCATTGTCTTCTTTTTGCTGCACAAAGAATGCTTAAACCTCTGATGAAAGATGCTAGAAAATACCTTGACACGCTGCGCTATCCAGGATTTTAGCGAAACACGCTTTTACACAACCTAAGACTTGGAAAAAGGCTTGCATTGCAAAAAAAGATATCCCTATATCGCCGCTAAGTTCCACCGCGGATGATAGTGTTCCGAATGCATTGCTGGTTGTGGAAGCGTGAACATGAGTAGTCAACTGACGAAACAGTAGAAAGGCATTCCGGCGGAAACAGATGAACGGTGCAACATTGAACGTGGTAAAACACAGTGATAACGTTTTTGGGAATGTGTTTTCGACTTCTTCTCTATGATGTATGTATATACATGTTGTGTAGTGATGTTACGATGAAGAGACTTCTGGAGAACATGTTCTGTACCGACACGCCGTCAGACGTGGTGATAGTCAGCGGAGTCAGTGTCCTACTCACCGCCATAGAGAGAAGGTTGGGATGAACTCACTACATATGTGTGTACATCTGCTTTCTACCTGTTTAATATGCTACAGTAGATATGAATCATCATTAATATATATATGCACATGCTTTGTTGTTACTGTTTTTCTTATTAGGCAACCTAATGCACTTAGTCCGTCGATGAACTCCACTTTTATTGGAGACGATATCAGTGCTACCAATGTCCACGGTGTGTACAACTTCTTTGTGTATGACTCTAAAAGTAACATTACATTTTATCACACACTATATTACGTACAATACATTTACACACATAAAATCGTTTTTGGCGAGTGAGCCGAGCATTTACATTTTTCGTGCCTTTTGTGTGTAATTAGAATCACGTAAAACACTACGGTTAACGTTCTGTGCTCGATGTACGTACCTGTGCATGTACCCAGATATCTTTATAGAGAGGTGGTCTTTTTTAGGTTTGTCAAGGTTTCATACTCTAATTGTAAATCTCTCATTCTCCTCAGCAACAAAAGCTGTTTTAGGAGTCATTGTTCCTAGAATGAAGGAATTTCACGATCTGCTATTAAGAATACCCAACGTGAGTTTTTACCTCAAGTAATCAGAGTTGCTTGTTTGTTGTTTATTGTGTTAAGTATACAACATACATGTATATATGTAAATTTTGTGAGCTACTTTCATATGTATGTTAAAGGACCGTCGCGAGTATACTACGGGAATTATTGAACGAGGATGTGGTCGAGAAGCTGATAAGGCACGAGGCGTAGCCGAGTGCCTTATCAGGCTTCGAGACCACATTCCGAGTTCAATAATTTCCGTAGTATACGAGCGTGAACGGTGCTTTAACTGGTTTGTAGCGTTGACAAACTGGTTTGTTGCTGGTTTTTGCCGCCTAATCTAGTATACTGCCGTAGTCTTCCGCCACGCTGTAGCGTCGGTCAGCAACAGAGGTGAGGATCGATGGAGAGCCTCGCTGACGCTGTCGGGGTTCTAGAAAACGCACCAGATTTTGACTTATTTCCCGAGGGTTGGAATGATGTCAGTACCGTGTCCGAAGCTGCAGCTACGTCTCCAACTCCTGTGACTCCACCTGCTAAGAAGCGAAGGCTCTCACTGTCTCTTAAAAAGGGTGGAGGTCGAGGGGGCCCACTAACAGAGATATCTAACCAGCGCTTCGTCTCTCCAGTGAAAGAAAAGGAATTTAATGCTGCTGCTAAGGGAGTGGTTCCTAGCAATACGAAGCAATGCAATCGGTGGGCCTGTCGTGTCTACGAATCGTGGGCGAAGCAAAGAAACGAGAGGGAGGGCTGTACGGAGAAGGTGCCAGAGAATCTTTTGGTCAGCGACAACCGAGAGCTCATTTGCAAGTTTATGCCCCAAGTATGCCTACATTCAGTGGAGTGAATAACTGTACCTTCAATTTCTACTCCAAGTAACTTTCTGGACTGGCTTGTGTCTAGACACTAGTAGTGCTGAGTCATTGTTATGTTATGTAACATTGTAGTAGTGTTTTGTTAAGAACAATGACTTTTACCACCATACTATATTTTCCAGTAGTTCCCTATATGGAATTTATAGAACGGGCGGCGCCTTTGATACGCCCACGCAAAACGCTACAAATATATATATAGCTTATATGGGTTTTCCTCTCTTAATAGCTTTGTGTACCTCCTTCACTTTCTCGTGTATATATACATGCCTCTGTCCCTCCCTCCCGCTCTGTTCAGTGCTCCCTCCTACCTCCTTCCTTCCGCCCCTTCCTCCCTCTCTTCTTCCTCTCTTTCTCCCTTCTCACGATGCCATAGCTGAGTTGCCCTGGTAGCTCAGTTGGTAGAGTGCTCGCCTAGACTGCAGAGTGTCCTGGTTTTGAATCCCACCCAGGGCAGCTCTTCTTTTCCTTGATAAAAAGAGCTGTCCTGGATGTTTGTTGTGCCTTTGCCTTTCTACCTCGTAGTTCGCATGTTCAGTAGCACCGTCACACAATCATAGTGAAATGGTGCAAATACACACTGTGTCTAATGTTCACGGGACTGCCTTGTCATTCGGAGTGTTTGTGTCTCTATCAGATCCCGGCGATGCCAACCAGTGCAGGGTTGTTGGATCCTCCTCTGGGAAACACCAGGCTACAGGTTGTCAAGCTCTTCTGCTCCCTCTTGCAGTGCTGTGACCACAGAGTCAACAGACGAGTAGCTGAACTCAACACCTTCTCCATCTTGATGGTGGGTGTACATGTGGTAGCTCAGTTGGTATAGCGCTCGCCTAGACTGCAGAGTGTCGTGGGTTCGAATCCCACCTAGGGCAGCTCTTCTTTTCTTGAGCTGTCCTGGGTGTAGTTGACTTGTTTGCATTGCCTTGCCTTTCTACCTCGCTACCAAGTTGTTGAGACATGTACAGTCTCTGAAGGCTTTTGCCTCTTAGCTACAGTAGTACGTACCTGCCTTCTCATGATTCACGGGTTGTCTCATTGGGAGAACTTGTACAATCACGCTCTACCCTAATTGAGCACGAAGACTAAGTACATGTGTACACACTGTATGTATTGTACAGCGCAATAACCCCCACTTTACTTGTAGGTTTTGTGTTACACCTACATACACAATAGTTATCAAAAGGACAGCTTCTCGAGCATGCTAACCACCGCATTGCTGTATGTATATCTGTGTGCAGGACTTGTTCTTCAAGTTCCCTTGGAACAACTTTCTCCACACCCAAGTGGAGGGTTGTGTGAGTGCTGCAGTCTCCACGGCCTCTCCATCTCCACCTACATCATCTGGCCCCGACACCACTCCAGCTGGTACTGACCCTATAGCCGTGCAGTGTATATACATGCGTGTAGTGTCGTGGGTTCGAATCCCACCCAGGACAACTCTTCTTCTTTTCTTTGAAAAGGAGCTGTCCTGGGTGTAGTTGACTTGTTTGCCTTGCCTTGCCTTTCTATTGCTACCAAGTTGTTGAGACATGCAATGTAGTATATATGGTGCTAGTAAATAACCATTACACCAGAGAGATGAATGTTTGTCGATGCTGTGCCCTGCTGCTGGTGTCTCATGAGACGCCTCAGCGTAGAGAGTTTCGCCACAACAACTCCAGATCACTTTACGCTTGGTGTGTATGGAACGCTGCTCCTGCTTGCCAAAAATGTGAATCTGCCACATTATTAACCCTCGGCGCGCATGAGCAGCGAGGGTTACTGTAGTTACCCTCGGCGCGCATGCGCAGCGAGGGTACTGTAGTTGGGTTTGTCTGTCTGTCTGTTACTCTCAATCTCACCTCTCTGATGTCTGTTCGTCTCACAAACAATGCAACGTACTCAACGGGCAATGAAGGTCAGAAATTTCGAACAGTTTTCTCTGAAAATGCCCCGTTGCAAAGCTAGAGCGCTTCCACCATTGTACGGCTAACGCGTAGTCGGCCATTTTTATCGCTGCGGAAAATGCGCATGCGCTTATATTTAGCACAGGCTCGACCGGGTCCGTTTGCTCTGTGTATCTAGAAGGAACAAGAAGTCACAACGAAGGGCGTGTATCGACTCTCGCATGCTATCTACTTCTGTAGCTAGCCCATGTCAGACTCTCTGCGAGGTACTGGCGGGAGACCACGAGTAAACGCATACTAATAGGCAATGGGTATCGCGCACTCGCAGTTCGCCGAGGGTTTGCACTTCAGTGCTTTTTCATTGGGTCTGTGTGTCTGTCTGTTACTCGTCATCTCACTTCTTGAGTGTTCGTTTGTCTCACAAAGGATACCACCTACTGAACGGGCAATGAAGGTCAGAAATTTCGAACGGTTTTCCCTGAAAACGATCCGTTGCAAAGCTAGAGCGCGAAAAAGCCAATATGCAAATACACTACGGCATGATCGATCCGCGTGCTCTGCGTACCTCGGAGGTACCAGAAGATGCAACGCAGGGCGTGTATCGCCTCTCGCATGCTATCTAGTAGTGTAGTTAGCCTGCGTCAGACTCTGCGCGAGCTGGCAAGAGACCACGAGTAACAGCTAAAACTAAACCCAGCCCACCAATTAGTGGTACGGCACATGCGTTTACTTACGCGTAGTGCGCCGAGGGTTTGCACTTCAGTGTTTTTCATTAGTCTCTGTTTTGTGTGTGAACACTCTGTTTAAGTCATGCCCCGCCTTGTCCTGCCTCAGACACTCCAGCAGACAGTTCAGAGGGCCACACTGAGGACTCCTTCTCTCTCAAGTACCATGTGAGTCTCTAACGACACTGTACTCTACATAATATATATACAATGTGCTACACGTGTACGTAAGAAATACAGTATATATGTACATCTCACATGTGGTGTTTACACTGTGATGCATACATGTACATAGATGAGTGTGTGAAAAAACCTTAGAAAAAGTGACACAGGATGCACTAATTAAAGTGCAGTAAAATTAGAAAATTGGTGTATAGTAGTGTGTATATATGTAGTGTGTATGACGTTACAACCGCCCAGCAATCGGTTTACCTAAATTTCCTCTGTTGTATGTATACAGGTGCTCCATGACTGTCATTTAGTACAGAGGTTACTGGATGGAGATGAGGGAAACCAGAAACGAAGGTGCCATTATTTTTATCAATGTGCATAGGAAATAGACATTATTGTGACATAAAGAGAACTGCAGGCAGACTAACCATTATGCACGTACAGTACTACATAGATGCTGTTACATACATTACTTCACTGTTTTGAGTAAACAGAAACGCAACAGAAACCACATCATCATAACCAACTGTGTTGGCTTGTTGCCGAGCGCGTTAGCGTGAGGCAACTACTCCGGGTTGTATTCTCGCGATATACGTCCGTCCGTCACGCTTAAGAATGTCAATTAGTCACGCTTAGGGAATGTCAATTAATCACGCTTAGGAATGTCAATTTCTGCCATGTGTGCAGATTCGTAGGAGGTCTGGCTTCGCGCGCAGTCAGTAGAGCGC